TGACCATTTCAACACAACGTGGTGCGATCATCCCCCTTGCGCGGAGTGAGGGTTCTCGACCCCGCACAACATGATCTACTCGACCACCATTGTGGTTACCGCCAAAAAAAACAACAGAGAAAAAAAAAGGGACGGTAACCAGGTTGCCGAGTTCACGAAGTGAATTGGCTCGTTTTACAACGTCGTTGCCAAGAGGCGAAAACCCAATCCCGATGGTAAACACCGGAAGGGGGGCTTGTTTTACAACATCGCCGCCAAGCGACGAAAACCCAACCCCGATGGCAAACACCGAGGGGGGGGCTTGTTTTACAACGTCGTTGCCACGCGACGAAAACCCAACCCCGCTGGCAAACACCGAGGGGGGGGGTGGGCGGCTTGTTTTACAACGTCGTTGCCAAGCGACGAAAACCCAACCCCGATGGTAAACACCGGGAGGGAGGAGGGGAAGTTCTTCACCAAGGGGTCTCTGTGCCCTCGGGATTCGCGCAGAGAGGCTTTGCTCGCAGGCCAAACGTGGCTCTGAGCACAGCAACGCGACGCCCTCAACAGCGATGAGCCTGCCCAAATCGCCAATGTTTGTTTCAGTTCGTGCAAAACCTCTCACAGATCTGCGAATTTAGCCCCCCGAAAAATTCAAACGCAACCCACTCCTCAACGTTAAACACGAACGACCATTCTCCGGGAACACTGCAGCGTGCAACAACGCTTCGCCCGAGCCCATGCACGTCCCGTTGGGTACACGCCACCCCAACCCTCTGACCGCCCAACGGAGAAACCGTACACGCTACATCGACGTACCTGCCCACTGCGGCGAGCGCGACTTCGCCGTAGGACACCGTCGGGATGCCTCGACGAACCAGCCTCTCGCGACAGCGCAGCAGCAGGAGCATGTTGTACCTGCGCATCGACCGTTACAGCGCAGAGAGCCAGGGGGCGGCGGGGGTTGCCGCAAAACAAACAACTTTGAGCCAATTCGGGTTATTGAGCACAAAAAGCACTCACATACGTGCATGTGTATGTCCTCCCAAAGACAGCAAACAAACCCACAGATGCAAAAAATCCAGCCATACTGGTTTTGCTTCATCGCACAGCAGGCCATCCCCGCGCAGGTGACAATCAAAACACAAGCAAACATGTAAATAACACCCAGCCTGGAATGTTTTCGCTTCGTCTGACAACAGCAGCCCATCCGCACGCCGGCGACAATCAAAACACAACCAGACATGTAAATACACCCAGCCTTGAATGCTTTCGCTTTCATCTGACAGCAGCAGCCCATCCGCAATAACCAAGACCGCCCTCGTCCATCTTCCGTGCCATTCCGCCACCCTGCGGCAACGCCACTAACTCACGTGGAAGCCACGGAGAGGAGGATTATCGCCCCCGCTGAGTAGATCATCCCTCCCTGGGCAAACATCCGCGGCAGGTACCTGCAGCACCGGAAAAAAACACGCGCGTGGAATCGACCAACCATCGGCGGTTATGACCATTAGCCGAGGTCGGAAGACCAAGACGACCCGCGTACATGGATGGGCTCGATGACTCGGTCGGAGAGCGGGCTGTTTGCCGCCGGCAGTCCGGCAGCACAAACACGAGATGTATGTGTACACTCACGGCGGCAAAGCAGAAACATGGGGGTACAGTATGGCCAGCCCTCGCGCAAGAGCATACATGCATACCGCCCCGAGAACGGCGGAGTATCCCAGTTGGGGAACACCTCATGGCCGTTCTAGCTTTACGTAACTTCAATGATTCAAACCTCGCACAACGTGCCCATTGGATGTGTATGTTGCCTCATAAGAGTTGCGCATCGTCGGCACGCTCCGGGCTGAACAGTCGTAGGTCACACCCCGTCGGTTCTTCTCGGATGATTCAACAAATATTGGTGGGTCGTCGCCAAACACCGTTTCTTCTTGTTCGCGCGCCCAAGTGCGGCCGCTGCGTTGAAACCCCCCACACACGCAAGGCAGGCATGAAAATATCAACAAGCCCGAATACGACAATCTACCCAACGGGCGGGAATCACACCAGGGGAGCGAGAGGGAACCGTTTCGGGTGCAAATTACGCCGCGATCCGCTTCAAAACATGCAACCGGTAAATTGGACGACCATGCACGCGATGAACTGCCCTTCACTCACGAAACGTACGAGACCACCATCATCTTGGGTGCAAACGCACTGCGGTCTGCTTCACAACATGAGGACAGGCAAAACATGAACAGACCGCGAATGCGGCGCTACAATCTTGACTCACAAAACGTACGAGCCCACCATCCCCTTCAAGTAGGTGACAACGGTCCTGGTCACCGAGTTTCCTCCGTAGTGGGCGGCTGATGACGAGTGTGCCCGCCTCAAGATGAACTCCTGCCCAAGGAAGGGCCGGAGAAAAAGGAAACACATCGCGCGGCATTTTCGTTGAGAGCCAAACACCTGGTGCGGCGGATGTCGCAACGGCAGCGGGCGGCAAAGCCCCGCAAAAAAGGGCGCCTACGCTGCCAAGTGTGGCCAGGGAATACCGCCGTCATATGTCGTGCCAGATATCAAAGAGAAGAGTCATACATAGCAACGCACAAAAATCTCCCGCTGAAGAGCTTCGCCCCCTGATTTCATCCGCCGTATTCATCAAAGCCCGGATTTTTTTGTCCGAGCCATCCAACCCGCATTCCGTGTATGTTGGCACACCAGAAGATCATGGGGAAGGCCTTACCTGCGGCCCCGGCGGCTCGTTCTGCCGTCCCCTAGCACGAAGTACGCCGTTGTCCCCTGGCGTAGCTTCCGTCAGCAGCGCGGTACTCATCCCCGCACCCTCCTCCTCTTCATCGCCCCCCCCGCCGCAGCTCCTGTGTGGAACAGAAAAGCAACTGAAGCTCTTACAATATGAATAAAGCAACTAGCTCAACATGTAGGCGGAAGGAAATGCGCATGGAGGTTCAACACGCCCTGCGGGGACAAGATGGCCGGTCACTCGTGGTTAAGTCGCGCGGACCAACTCTTCCCCACGAAAACAGGGTTCTTGTCGGGCAGTGCCACGGGCACACACAAACCTGCCCGCCGCACACTTGCATGGAAGGGCGACCAAAATTAGCCGGGGGTTCAGAGCCGCCGCCATTGCCCACGCCGTCGCTGTACGCCTCTCGCGAGCCGCGGAGTGCCAACAGAGGCTATGTATGTTGCCAATATTGCTCTATGCAGATAAAGAGAGCGGAAACAAATCCACGACATAACAACCCTCTCCCTCCTGATGCACTATAGATGCCCCCCCACCCACCCCCCCGGTGTTTGCCATCGGGGTTGGGTTTTCGTCGCTTGGCAACGACGTTGTAAAACAAGCCAATTCACTTCGTGAACTCGGCAACCAGGTTACCGCTTTTTTTTTACCTCCATTTTTTTTTTTAATAAGTAAATATATGTTAGAACCAAGCAAAACACGCGTGAGGTGAACCAACCATCGCAACGCGGGGGGGGGGCAGAGGAGACTCCATCTACAGCAGCAGCAGTATCTACAGCAGTTAGTAAGAATGTACAGCAGTCAGTAGTCTTGTACCTGGAGTAGTATAGTACTGTATGGCTGCGGTGACCTACATCTCGCGTACAACGGGCTCCATCGCAAAGCACCTGAGGGGGTTCTATCAAGTGTGCTACTGCTGGTGCTGCTGGTGCTGCTGGTGCTGCTGGTGCACACCTTTGTACGCACAGCAGCTGTGTGTGTGAACCTCTCGCTGTGTGTACCATGGCGGCACTGCTGTGATTGTACATGTAGGTATTGCTCCATGCATATTGTATGCAGACGTAGATCTTCTATCTTGAAGCAGCATACAGACGTAGATCTTCTAGCTTGTAGCAGCAGCAGTCACACCGCACATGGGACGGAGCCCCCGCGTACCCCTCTGTACAAATTCTTCAATCGCAGGGGGGGGTGGGGGGCAACACCTACGGACATATATCTCGCTTCTTTGTGACCTGGGCTGCGGGAGGTGCGTCCCCGGAAACCAAAACGCCTGTACAACATCACATGATCAGCAGCAGCAGACAATCCAAGCTAGCAATACAGCAGCCATCATACATACACAATACCCGCCAGCCTCCTGCCAGGCTGCTCTGCTGCAGGCTACTACTGCCCAAACACAGGCGGTTGCTACTGCCATGAGCTAGCACGGAACGGATTGCCAGACACCAAGCAGTGTAGGTTCGTACCAGCTGTCTGTGTGTTAGCTCTTTGAGTGTACATGAACAGGCGTGTACATGGACAGGTACAACCACCCACCACAGACGCACACATAGCATACGGAATTTTCATCACAGCACTTCCTGCACGTATCTCTCGCGCTCTCTATCTCTATTTCTCCTCTGATTCACCCTGTGCTCTCCACTTTCGACTCGGACTTGCTCGAGGTTCAAACTGCTCCTGGGGCACGGCACAACTGCATACCCCGGACTTGAAAAAATTCAAACAGCGCGGGGAGGGGCGGGAGCAACACCTACGGACATATAACCGGTCGTCCCGGTGGTCTAGTGGGTAACCTGGAAGCCTGCTAAGGGTCGGGTTATGGGTTCGAGTCCCGGCAGAATGAGTTTTTTTTGGCGGTAACCATAATGGTGGTCGAGTAGATCATGTTGTGCGGGGTCGAGAACCCTCACTCCGCGCAAGGGGGATGATCGCACCACGTTGTGTTAAAATGGTCAAGCACCCTCGAGGCAGTTACACAGTGCTTACAACTGTCTCTGGAAGTGAAAGCACCAGAAAATAAATTAATTCATACGCAGCTGTCATCCGTACGCAAGGAAGTAAGCACAAGATGCCGAACACCCTTAGCAGGATGCAGCGCACCCTTCATGCGACTCGCCGAATATCTCACGGCGCTTCGCGCTTGGTGATGTGAGAGCCTGGTCCGGTGAGAACCCGGCGTGCTCCGTCCCGGCTTTGTAGGGATGCGAGGTCAATGGTCTAACGACTACGGCATGCACGACTATGAGTACACCCCCCCCCACCCCACCCCCCTAGCTGATGTGCTAGCCTGGTCCGGTGAAAACCCGACGACCTCCGTCCCGGCTTTGTATGTACCACACCCTGGACAGTATACAATATAGTAATATAGTCAACGCATATCGATACGTTCCTACCGTAATACGTCACATGCTGGTGGCTGTAATACGCATTGACGTTTTCTTGCGAGGGTAGCGTTCTGGAAATATGCATCGATTGGCAGTTAGTGAATCTACCTCTGGCTCAATATACAGTAGCATTTTTTTTCAAAACATATTGCAACGACCAATCGGTATTTCTCCACATGTTGGAAAGTGCTGCACGGGTCAATATGATGCAATGCATCGACGGAAAAGCATTTGGTTCTCACGAAATGTATCGATAAGATGTTCAATGATGTGTTGCTCTTTGCAATGCATATCGATACAAACAACAAGTTGTTGTGTACTGCTCTCCCGATTATAACAATGTATTGTATCTGGTGTTTGTATCTGTCGGTATGACCCGGTACGTACCCACTGCCGCACCCCCAAAGTGTACTGATTTTAGTATAGGGCCATTATTATATAGGATTTACTATAGGATGCATAACATATTGCATTTAGGGCAGTGGTGGCCATGTGCGGGGCTGTACCATTTCCCCCATTGATTGCCCTGACCATTCGTCTTGTCGATTCATAAACGTGTAGAGCACGAGGAATGGTGGCCCATGTGGTGTGGGCCGAGGCTGTGGCCCTTAAGGCCTGGACAATACTTAGGCTAATCGAATATTGGTCTGACAATAAAGTTGAAATTTCGATAGTCGATACGTATTTACAGTAATCAATATGATGGTTCCGGGTGCATCGATATGTATTATGAGTAATGATAGATTGAAACAAAAGACGCAACACATTTTTGCTCCCGCGATAGGACAAACTGCAAGTCTTCGATATGTATCGCTTCGACCAGCACGCTTTCAGTTGTCCGATGGATATTGCAAGGTAANGTTGAAATTTCGATAGTCGATACGTATTTACAGTAATCAATATGATGGTTCCGGGTGCATCGATATGTATTATGAGTAATGATAGATTGAAACAAAAGACGCAACACATTTTTGCTCCCGCGATAGGACAAACTGCAAGTCTTCGATATGTATCGCTTCGACCAGCACGCTTTCAGTTGTCCGATGGATATTGCAAGGTAAGATATGTTTTTACCGAATTCGATTGATACATCTTGGAGCAACAATACGTTGATGATCGTAGCGATCAATATCTATCTATCGTTCAACCACTATGTTGATACATATCGTACACTGTAACTATTTTCAACGCGAAAGAAAACATGCCCCCAAAACTTTGTCGCGCTCCGCGCGAAATCAATTTTATGCATGAGCAGGGTTACTGTTAACGCCATGGGGGACGAACCAAAACAAACGAACGGACGTATCGATTGCCTGGCACGCATATCGATCGATACTTTCCGTCTGCATTGAGCCATGCAATATCAATTGATACCATTTCCACTAACATATTTGCTTACATATCATATTGGCCAGGGTGTGGTAGGGATGCGAGGTCAATGGTCTAAAGACTACGACATGGACGGCTATGAGTACACCCCACGGTAGAGCGATGTCCTCACCAGTCCCCTCCGATGGTGTCTTCGAGCAGCGGAGCTTCCATTTCCGACGCGTCCACCTCCGATTCGTCGGAGAAGATTGTGCCACACCCCAACCCGTCGTCCTCCCGGTCGTCCGGGGACAACTCGTACCCTCCCCGCCCAGCGTATTCCTGAGGAGGAGGAGGCGTGTGGCGCGGTGTTATGATGGGGGGGAGGAGACCGCAGTGCTCTTGCTTTCTTTTGAGAAGGTTGATGTGATTCGCCTGCTGGTTTCTGACGCGACACAAGCGCTTCGCAACAAGGCCACCAGATCCACGAAGATGGCGAGACGAGTTCCAACCAAAAAGTAACATTATTTGTGATGTGATGTCCTGATGTTCAGAGTGAACTGTTCAGATAGACAAACAAAAACATCAGCCCGACTTGGATCTACAAGGTACAGCAGTCTAAGGATCCACGATGCAGACGCCTCTTGCCATGCGCAGGACCCAACACACGCTCAAAAGATACCTCCTTGCGTTCATCGCCTCGTCTTCAGCAGATAGCTGTTGATGAACAAAAAGGGCACAGAGACCCCCAAGCAACCCACTAGACGGCGCTATCTTCCAGCGACCACAAAGCCCAGGGATTGCGCAGCGGTTTGTTCGCCTGCCATCAAGAGTCCGGGTAAACGAAGGAGGCTGCCATAGTTTCTAAAGGGTGTTTCTTTCACGTCTTGTCCACACCCTCCCGCGCCGACTCATCGCTGCTCCTGCGCGAAGCCCCTGCCCGTGTGTTCGCAACACGCTTCGACCAACCAATGGGTGGACCACAAAAAAGAGTGTGCCGCATCAACAAAGTCCACGAGGGAACACGAAAAAGAGGCGGCAGGTGCGCCAGCGGGGAGGAAAAAACAGCATACGAATCAGCACTACTAGAAGCTCAACACCGGCGCACCTCGACGTCAGACACCAAGCTTGCCACGAAAGAATGGAGACGCCTCCTCGACACTGACGCCGTGCGCCGCCGCATGAGCGGCAAGGACGGACTTCTCGAGATCCGGATGGCGTCAGCGGAGGCCTGCTGTTCGTCCTGACGGGGTCCGTGCTCCGATCCCGAGGTGATCGGCCGGTCCTCGTCCAGAAGCAACCTTTCCGAGCGGTACAGTGTAGCGCGTTAAGGCAGCAAGATAATGCCAACACGTCACGGGAATGATGGGTTTGGCATTCGAAGTCGTACTCGAGCTGCTGAAGATTTTCGCAGCCGCTTTCCTTTGGAGCAACTTGGCACACCACGGTTTATTGGGGTAGAAGCAGGGCCGACCACCGCAAGAAAAAGTAGCACAGCCCGCGCGTGGGTCTGTCTCCTCGCAACCGTGTGTTGAGCGCATGAGCGCATACGTTTGCGCGGCTCCAAGCGCTGGTCAGCCGCCTTCGGCTGCTGCTGCTGCCTCTGCTGATGTGTTGTAATCATTTGAAAACCTGTCTGGTCTCTATCATACGCGGAATCAGTACTTTGAAGTCCAAACTGGTCCAATTGACGCAGACGATTTCCGTTGTCACACAAATCAGGCTGTCGGATTATGTCGAATAAAATTTCCCCCTTCTTTCAATTTTGAAAATAATGCATTGGTATGTAGCAACGTAGAGTAAATATGAGATCTTGAAAGGGTTTGGTCTCTTGTTCACTCTGTTCTCCCATTCTGTTGTTAAAAACAAGTAAATATATGTTAGAACCAAGCAAACCACGCGTGTGGCAAACCAAGCATCGCAACGCGGGGGGGAGGGTCCGGGGGGGGGCAAGCCCCCCCCCGGCACCCTTGGG